AAAAAAAAAAAAAAAAAAAGATTTGTTCTTTTGGCATACAAATAGAATATGTGGTCCACTTATAATGTGTCCAAAAATCTATCTTCAAATTAAAAATCTCTTTACTATTATTAATACATTTACATTTTTAATTTCGGAAGTGTTTTATATATATTATGTGGCTCAATTTCTACAATTTTGGGGGACTGCCAAAAATTTCCTTTTTATTAGGAAACAGTCTAAAATGAGTTCTTTACAGTCAAAGGAAATGGGTGTTAGAATCAAGATTAGGATCCACTATTTTGCACTTGAGTATGTTTTTCATTTTATTAGGTAACAAGGTAAAGTGAGTTTAAAGACTAAAAATCTGATTTTACATTTCCAAATTATAATATTGAGGGATATGATTAAGAAAACAATAAAGAAGAAAAAACAACATACTTGACACCTCTTCGAAACCATCCCAGAATTCCTTAACATTAGCATTTGAAATGACGCTGTCTCTGCAGTTCAGGAGATCAGCTTGGTGGTCCCCAAAATCAAGACTAATTGACTCAGCCTTCCACAAGCTGATGTTCATTTTCTTATGCACACCGGAAACAACAGCAGGCTTATGAGTGAACAAATAAAGAGTAGTTAAAAGTATGTGGAAACTTCAGTTTGATTTAAATATACACAACAAAGGGGTAACGTGAGATTCAAGCCTAATAACACATTTCTGAGTATAAAATAAACTATTACAAGAAGCTTTAAACTGAGTGTGGTGACACACACCTGTAATCCTATCACTTGGGAGGCTGGGGCAGGAAGATTACTGGGACTTCAGGCCAGCCTGGGCTACACAGGGAGAACCTGTCTCCAAATAAACAAAGCAAAACAAACAGTTCTAGCCTGGCTCATGCCTATAATCCCAGACACTCTGGAGCTGAGGCAGAAGGATTACAAGTTCAAGCTCAACCTCCATTACACAGAAAGATCCTGCTTCAAAATAAAAAATAAAAAGCTCTGGCTCAGTGTGAAGGCTCTGGGGTGAAACTCTAAGTATAGTGAAAAAACCATTTCTGGGGTTGGGGATGTGGCTCAGTGGTAGAGTTCTTGCCTTGCATGCACAAGGCACTGGGTTCAATCCCCAACACCACAAAAACAAACAAACAAATAACCTTTGGGCCAGATATATAGCTCAGTGGTATAAGGACCTGCCCGGCAAGTACAAGGTCTTGAGTTCAATTCCTGGTACCACCAAAAAAAAAAAAACCAAAAAACAAACAAACAAAAAAAAAAAAAACAAAAAACAAAACACACAAACCTTTTCTGACCTGGAAAAATGTTTATGACACACTGTCAAAGAAAGAGAGAATGCCACATAGACTGTAGTGCTATTTCTGAAACAAATTTAAGTTCACAAATTTAAGTTCCAATTTTCAGAAAAGTCTGAAAGGGTATAAGAAAAATTTTTCTTGGCAGCAACAACCACGTATTTTGGGGGAGGGGGGCTATCAGCTAATATTTAGAGGCAGAACATAAACTATTTTTATTAGTATGTAATAAGCTTTTAAAGTAATTTAGTCACTGAAATTAAATCACTAGATATATATATATTCTGAGTTTATAGCACTTAAAACACATTTACCCCTACAAGGATCATGCTAAGTAAAAATAATACCCAAGCCTAACATCATTTGTCCTAATGACTCATTCTGTGAGAGTGAACCTCCCCTTCAAAAACATAAAATTCAAAATATCTTAAGGCTCTTTAGCTGAGAAACCAATAAATAACATTTGTATCTTCTAAGAACACACAAAAAAGTCTCTAGGTTAATTCCATGCATTATGTAAAGGTTTGTGTTTTATTTTTTGGTACCGGAAATTGAACGTAGGACCTTGAGCTTGCCAGACAGGCATTATGCCGCTGAGCTATATCCCTCGCTATGTAAAGTTTTTTAAAAGAACTACTCTCAGCCGGGCATGGTAATACAAGCCTGTAATCCCAGCACTAGGGAGGCTGAGGCTAGAGGACTACTGTGAATTTGAGGCCAGCCTGAGGGACATAGTGAGTTCAAGGTCAGCCTGAGTTCCACAGCAAGAACCTATCTCAAAAAACAAAACAAAACACAAATCCCCTCTTAATCTCATAGAAGTAAAATTTTTTACCATGACATGTAAGGGGGCCCCCACATCTTTCTTTCCTTAATGAGCTCTTGTATGTTCCAAATGAACAAACCTCAGAGTTCCCCCAAATTTTTTACCTGGTTGTATATGCCCACCCTTTTGTCAGTCCAGCAAAACTTCACATTAAAAAGCCAGAAGAATCTTTCAGACTAGTCTTTCAAATCTAGTATTCTAGCCTGTTCATATCACCTTCAATACAGTTATTGATTTTTGCTGTTTTGAGACAAGGTTTTACTATGTTTTTCAGGCTGGTCCTGAAGTCACTCAGTGGCCCAGGCTGACCTCGTACTCAAGGTGATCGTCCTGCTGAAGCCTCCAGAGCACTGGATCACAGGCGTGTGCCACCAGGCCCAGCAATAAAGTTTTAAAAATATTTAATATGTTGCTGAAAATATTTAAGTGAGTTGTCTACCTTTATGGCCCACACAAAACTAAACTCTAAACTTCAGTCCAGCTGCAGCATTAGGGGATTTAAGGGAGCTCAAAAAAATTACACACATTAAATTCGTGCCCATGCAGCACATGGGTGTGCATTTGGGTAGGGAGAGACCAAGCAGTTTTCATCAGATTTTGAAAGGGACTAGTGATTTAAGACTATTGCAGTACAGTTCCTGGAACATTTTTTACTTACTCTATTCATTTTTATAACCCTTAATGCCTATCACAGATACTGGAACTAATCAGGTATGCAGTAACGACCACACCGAATTAACAACAGTAATATCTCCAGAGAACAAGGACTGAACTGAACAACAAAGTACTGTCAAACACTTCATGCATTCATGATTTTTGTGTTAATGTGATACACTGCCATCTTGGGCTAGTGATACAGTTCAGCAGGGACTTTGCACAGCACCTGGGTGGCAAGCACAAGGACCTGAGTTGGATTCCCGGTACCAAAAACAAACAAACAAACAGTCAAACAAAAATAAAACTAGACTGCCATCTAAAATGTGTATCAAAACTCAGGTCACACAAAAAAATAATTTCTATTTGGGAAAAATTAAATGATGGAGCTTTTCATTCAAGATCTGATGAATTGTGTTGAGGGCTGGGAAGGGAGAAAGATTTGATGAACTATTCTATAAATAAATGTTCTACAGAGGAACATTAAAGGGAAAAACATCTACATGTTTTCACTGGTTCAAGGACAATGATTTTAAAGCTGAGTGGTGATGAAAACCTATAATCCAGTACTTGTCTGAGCTGGGGGAAGTATTTCAAGACCAGCCTAAACTACACAGTGAGACCTTGTCTCAAAAACAAGACAAAAACCAAAAAAATTGCCACTACCAACCACCACCACCACCACCACCAAACCCATAACCCACTTCCAAAAATACTAATACTGATTGACATTTTAATAGTACACATGAATCTGCTAGTTGAACTAAAACAGAAATTAAAACAAAAGGAGCAGGGGCTGGGGATTTAGCTCAGCGGCAAAAGCGCCTGCCTGGCAAGTGCAAGGTCATGAGTTCGGTTCCCGGTACCAGAGAAAAACAAAAAATACAAAAAAAAAAAAAAAAAAAAATAACAAACTGATGGATTCTGCTTTTGAAATATATTTTATTTAGATATAATTTTCCTGGATATATAATAGGTTCAAATAAATGTTTCGGAATACTAACTTTACGTATCAACTTAATTCCTTCCATGTTCTCCTTTTTCCTGGGTAAACAAATATAGATAAGAAAATAAAGCAAGAAAAGTAT